GAATTCTGAATTCTGGTTGATACTGGAGATTCTCTGTGTATCTGTATCAGACTGTCAGCTCCATTTTGAATGTGGAGCTTGTTTGCCTTCTCTGCTGTCTTTTGCCTCGATATTGAGCTAAAACCCACAGGAGAAATTCTTCCACCTGGCACAGGGCTAGCAATGGTCATTAAACTGTAATGATCATCCATTCAAATGGAGCACTCTTGGATAAAGAAATAGCTACTGCCCAGGGTAAACCAGTTTTTCAAGTCTGAACTCCAGGGCGGAAGTAACTAGGCAACGGATTACCTGGTGAGAAATCTCTGATGAGGCCAAACGGGGAGTCACCTGTCAAAAGGGGCTGGAGGTTAGAAAAGAGAGGGTCTCTCATTGGCCATTTCAGAGAAAGAGAATGGAAGGGCACTGACTGCATGGGTCAGAGAGAGACAGACAGACAGAATCCAGGATTAGGAAAGGAAGCAATGTGCAGGAAGGGGATCCCAGGTACCCCACAGGACTCTGACCAAGGCCCAAAGAATGCTCCAGAGTAGTGAGGAAACTGAAGCAGGGAAATGCATACAGGTATTTTTATTTTTTTGTCTAAATCTTCTTGTATATTTCTCGTGCTAGCTAAAATAAAGAGTGACTGGTTTGGGGAAAACCTTACGACGTCTGTGTACTTCACTATCACATGTACCTGAAGAGGAGAACTCTAAACCCAGAGCACCCACGAGACTGGAGCTCCGAGATAAGATGTGCTCAAGCTATCAGGGGGGTAAACACTGGTCCTGGGAACCTAAGGCAGCTGGGTCAGCAACTGTGAAGTAGTAACAGAAAGTCTGTGCCTAGGAAAAGTGCCAGAGACACCAAGGAAAAAGCCAGTGCTGCAGCCTACCCAGACTAAGGGTAGCTTAAGAGCACAGGTCCCACTGTGGTGGGACACAAACACAGCAGCGGGGTGAGTGTTCAGCCAGGGAAGCTCTACCAGGTTGTATGTGACAGGCTGTGGCTCACTTTAACTATGTGGAGGATCACCACGGTAACACCATATGTTGAGAAAATACACAGAAAAGGCACAAGGAACAAATTCCAACTCCCATGAGACACAACTCCCATTTTTGGCTAAAATCTTTTGGTTTTCAGAGAAAATATTTTGACAAAAAATGGAAATTTCCACCAAAAGCAGACACTTTTAATGAAACAATTAATTAAGCCCCAAGCCCAATTTTCCGTCAAAAAACAGTGCTGATGGAAAATTTTTGACCAGTCTACCATTTACTTAGTTCCAGTATAGCTTCACTCACTCTTCACTCCTTTCACTTTTTTCCCTTGTGAAAGGAATTGATCTGGCCCCCTATCATTAATACTGTACAAAAAATTTTTTTTTTTAAATCCACTTGAAGTAAATAGCTTCCAGACAGAAAAATTGGGCATTATCTATAAAGAAACTGCACATGGTGATGAAATGGAAAACAGCAGGACTGCATTCATTCACATGTTGGCTTTCAAGTTTTTTTCCATGACAAGTGACTAGAGGTGATATGACAGCAAGCTATATTTATGCAGATGATATATGCTCTTAGGTGAACATCTTAAGAATATGAAGGCTCATCTGACTGCTGAAGTTCCATTTCAAACATATTTGAGAATGTATCTGCTTAATACTTTTTGTGCTATTCTCTAGAGATGTGATCAGATTTCTATGAATATAACCAACTAGAAGGCAATGGTACTATACATAATACCTCATAACTTAAATAAATTTTCTTTTGACCACAGCATGAAAATACAGGGAATGCATCTTTTATTATTTAAATATATTCAGAACAGTTTTTGCTGTAATTTACTTACGTAATTTTGCCTCAGAATAAAATATACACAGGCTGTATTGAAATCTAATGTGTTTATTAAGAATGCTTAAATATTTGCTGTTCTCTTAATCCTAACCTTCACCATTTTCACTGTATTTACAATGCCTCACATTTACTCTTGATTTTTCTTTGCCTACCAATGCTAGATTTGCTTTCACCTGATACTAGTGAATATTCTGTTCATTTGTCAAGACCAAAAAGAGTACAATTTAGTGCTCATTTCTGCAATGTGCCTGATCCACAGCACTGGAAAATGAACTCATATTTATCAACAAAACAGATACAGCCTGGGCAGTGGCAGCACAAATTTCCCCATGTCATCCTGCTGCTTTAACACTGATCAGGCTGGATTACCTCTGCTAGTAAGAAGATACAGTAAAAAGATTCAGTGTCCATGTCCATTCCATAGTTTTGAATACCTGCTGAAACAGCTTACAAAAGGTGGCAATTGACTGAGGCCAGTGTTTTCCCTCTACCTGGCCACAGGGAACAAAACTAAGACCAACAGCACATTTCATATATGTTACCAAGTAGCTGTCAGATTGGTAATGACTTTTGATCTGGGCTGGAATTAAATTGGTGACCTAGAGGTAAAAGACTCTATATCATTAACATTCCTATATGCCATCCAGTCCTGAAATCATAAAATATTACAAAAATACATGTGAGCTATGAAATATTTAGCTCTTTAATCTGAACAGAAGAAGGGCTAGATGAAAGAGCAGATTCTTTTTATTCTTAAGAAAATCATAAACAATAAACAACATCCACACTTTCTTGCAGTTTATACCTTATATTGCAAGAGTCTCTTACTAAGTGAACTCTAACTTTAAAGATGTTCTAAGAATTTCCCAGCACAGACAAAAGTCACATCACCATAAGCTGAAGATGGTTTACAACTCTTCTGCATACACATAAGCAGATAGTAAATTCATGGGCTGAAAATGTTGCCAAGACCATCCCACAAAGGTGTTGAGCCAATCAAAAGGTGACAGCAGCTATTTGGATGCAGTGAAGCTCCTCACCTTCTGTGAGACTATGGAAAGAGAAGAGTATAAATCTGTCTGAACTTAGATACCAGCGCAGCACACTCATCTCTGCCTGGTCAACCCCTCTGGTCCAAGCAAACAAAGAGCTGCAAGACGACAAAGAACAAAGAAGCCACAACACAACATCCAAAAGAAGTAATCTTCCAGCCCAGCACTTCTTCTGCAAGATGATGACATCACCAATACTTCAGCATCATTGGTGAGACAATCTTTGCAAAATCATTGCCAAGGCCAAAGGACTAGATATAAACTGTTCTTGTAATAACAGTAATGGGATACTGAAATGCTACGGTAATTTAAGGCATTAACATCTTCTCCATTAAACACTGGATCATTCATACTGTGTACTCCTAGAGAGAAGACATAAGCTAACCAAACAAAGAGAACCAGTGGGTTTTACTTTGAATTAAAGGTTCTTAATATTCATGAATATGCTTTTCAAGAACATTTCTGCAAATGAATCAGTGAGTTTATAAGAAATATAGTTATTTCAACTGAATAACTCTTGAATGACTTCTTAAGAATCTGAGTTAAATATTTTCTTCATTTTCATAGGTCTTAGTTAATAATACTAACAATCTAGCCCTTACACAGCACTTTTCAATAGTAGATCTCAAAGCACTTTACAAAGCAGGTCAGTATCATTAGCCTATTGTACAGATGAGGAAACTGAGGGGGGACAAAGAGGGGAAGTGACTTGACCAAAGTCACCCAGCAGGCTCGTGGTAGAGCTGGGAACAGAAACCAGGTCTCCTGAGTCTATAGCTAGTGCTCTATCCACTAGACTACACTTCCCCTAGTTAAGCTCACTTACCTCTGCCCATTTATAAACTGTTTATGTTATCCATGATAAACCAAACCAGATTCACCAAGCCTTAAACAAAATTCCTTTGTTCATGTATAAACTGTGTTAGTTATCTATGGTACACTAAAACAGGACTCACTACTGATTTGGGGAATAATATACTTTGGTCTTATCTTACCTAGAGAAGAGTGTCCCCAGAAGGGTGGACCCACTCTCCAATGTATAATATCTCTGTTAAGAGCTCTCCACAGAGCCATACAGAAGAGATTGTGTCTGAAGTAACCATTGCTTACTGCTTGTTTGTGTTCTGGTTTATTTTGTCTTTCTTTAACAATAAAAGAGTCATAGTTAATAACAGTGATTATTTTGCTTGTCTTCAATCATGGTATCCCCTCAGGTATGGCAAGCAACCCATGTAATTAAAATAGTGGAGGTTACATCCTTGAAATGGCATTAAGAGAAGCAGATATTAAAATTTCTTGTTTCTCTAGGCTATACTTTAAAAAAAAATTGGATAAAAATGTTTGACGCCCAACACCTTAAAACATCCCTTTCTACTGCAGACACACCAGCCACAACCAAGTAATCAGCGTACAGTAAGTAAGGAATTTGATTTGACTGGAGCCAACAAATATTCGAGTTCAAGATAGTGATGGGAAAGTTGAACTAAGTTTTCTTTTAGAAGAGATTGCAGTAAGAAGAAATGGAAATGGGGTCATTCAGATCTAAGAACATGATTCCATTCCCTTCCGCAGAGACACTGCTGACAATGTGCTGGAGTAATGACATCCTCTTGACACACTCTTTTCTTTTACAAATAGACTTTGTACTTTGAATGGTAGAGTGGGTTGTTTCCCTTCAATTTTAGTCACATTTTGAGATGCTGACAATTCACAAGTATATGTGAATGTCATACACTGCACTGCCAGACATTACAGGCATCAATAGTCATTAGAACAGTTCATTTTTTGATCACATGATACATTAAAAATTCAAATCTGTGTAAACTTCTTCATGTAATTGATTGTATGGTGCATTAATAATGAATTCTTCCAAATGACCAGTATGGGGACTAGAATTGATTGCATAAACATATGTATATGTGCTTCTCTAATTAAATTACCGGTACTTGTATGCAAATTTGAGCTTTAAGTTGCCACATTGTGTCTCAGTGAGATTGTATAAAACTAGAGCAAGTTAATATAGTCTATAGAAAGATCAGCAGAGAAGCAGAACTGTTACAGAAATATTAACAATCTATTTGTGTTTTGCACTGCAGTAATTAAAGTTTACCTGTTTCTCTTCTTCCGATGCTCCCGGTTAGAATTTTCTGACTCGCTACCACTGCTGGTATTACAACGAGATCGTGACCTGGGGAATGGAACAGTAAATCAGGAGCTAAGAACAAGAATTATCAATATTAACAAGTTCACTCTCAATATTAACTATGCAACATTTTGCAATTAATACTTCATAAAATAAAGAGCTGTGTTCATTTGTTTCCTATTATTAGAATGTCCATAATACTGTAAAGTTCTGTACAAGTCTGTGAACAATATCCAGCAAGAAGGAAGTAGGAAATAGCAGAGATGCAGAGAGAATGTAAAACTTTGTCTACACTTGAAAGTGATTTCAGAGTATGTTTTTGTGTGTTAATGATCAGAAACAACTGTTTTGAAAGCAGATGTCCACATTGCTGTGGTTTCTGGACTTTAGCTACTTCCCTTTTGGACCACTGACTCCACACAGTACTGCATTTCTTCAAATTAAGTGCACAGCCTTCAGGATGGGCATCCCGCTGTGTAGTCACAGAATCATAGAAATGTAGGGCTGGAGGGGACCTCAAGAGATCATCTAGTCCAGCCTCCTGTGCTGAGGCAGGACCAAGTAAACCTAGACCATCCCTGATAGGTGTGTGTCTAACCTGATGGGGATTCCACAACCTCCCTTGGTAACCAATTCCAGCGCTTAATTACCTTTACAGTTAGGAGGATATCTATCCTACATTTCCCTTACTGCAGATTAAGCTTATTTACTTCTTGTCCTACAATCAGTAGACATGGAAAATTGATCACTTCACTCTTTATAGCAGCCCTTAACATATTTGAAGAGTGTTGTCAGGTCTCCCTCCCACCACCCATCTTCTTTTCTCAAGACTAAACATGCCCAGTTTTTTAAATCTTTCCTCATAGGTCAGGTTTTCTAAACCTTCTATCATTTTTCTTGTTCTCCCATGGACTCTCTCCAATTTGTCCTCATCTTTCCTAAAGTGTGGTGCCCAGAACTGGACACACTACTCCAGCCGAGGCCTCACCACTGATAAGTAGAGTGGGACAATTACCTCCCATATCTTACATACAACACTCCTTTTAATACATCCCAGAATGATATTAGCCTTTTTTCACAACTGCATTACATTTTTGATTCATATTGAATTTATGATCTGCTATAATTTTCAGCAGTGCTATCACCTAACCAGTTATTCCCAATTTTGTAGCTGTGCATTTCATTTTTCCTCCCTAAGACTCCCTACTTTGCACTAGTCTTTATTGAATTTCATATGGTTGATTTCAGACAAATTCTCTGATTTGTCAAGATCCTTTTGAATTCTAATCCTGTCCTCCAAAGAGCTTGAAACCCCTCCCAGTTTGGTGTCATCAGCAAATTTTATAAGCATATTCTCTACTCCATTACCCAAATCACTAATGAAACTATTGAATGTTCTCCTGCTAGGCTCTAGGCATTCTGAGCTTCTTCTCGCTGCACGTTGTGGGACACCTACCAGAACCCACTACAATTCTGGGACTTGGGGTCAAACCAAAGATTTCCAATGACTCCTCTCCTTTCAGCCCATCATTCCCCTGGCTTTTTGAGAGTTGCACGATTTTCAAACTGATATGAAGCAGCATGGAGGAAACACTGCTGAGTGCTGTGATGTTGACAGTCAGTATATGAACAGGCTGATGCACATGTATTGGCAGTTTGGCAGCAAGATGGTTTTGCTTGAGACAGACAGGTGTCACGATGATGCAGGCAATATGAGTACATGAGAAGGAAACCGAGCAGTCACTTTTGCATGAACTTTTCTTGGAGCGGCTTCCTTCTCTCTGTGAGCCACTGCTTCTGGACTCTGCCAATTAGCACCTTCCTCGCTTATCAAGCCTTTCACTGGCCACTTGGATAGGAGAAAGGAGCTGTTTAACTATACCCTGAGCTTGCTGCATTTTGTACAACCTCTGAGACAGCAAGCAAGAGAGCCCTCACCAAAGGGCGGGAAGAAGAGGTGGAGAGATTTTCTGGATGTTATGAACAGCCAGAGAAATGACCTTTATTGAATGATGCAACTGGTCAAGGACACAGGGTCAATGATGTGTTGTGCTCCTATTTTGAGGCTAGGCTGTTATACCTTTGTGTAAGGATTTCATGCTGCTTTGAAAATTTTCAACCAATTTCATGACATTTTTAAGAATAAAAGTATGGCCAGACTGGGTCAGACCAATGGTCCATCTAGCCCAGTATCCTGTCTTTCAACAGTGGCCAGTGCTAGATGCTTCAGAAGGAATGAACAGAATGGCAATTAACGAGTGATCCTTCTCATCCAGTCCCAGCATCTGGCAGTCAGAAGTTTAGGGACACTCTGAGCATGGGGTTGTGTCCCTGACCATTTTGGCTAATAGCCATTGGTGTGTGAATTTACCATGAGCTGGATCGCACAGGGGTGCATCTGGCTCGCATCAGCATTTAAACAGTGAAGTGACAGCCATTCTAGATGACCCCAGAACAGTAGAGGGCACACAGGAAAATAGACAGGTTGACCCAGGTGTGCAGCAAAGTAATGTGGGACTGCAGAGGGAGGTGAAACAGTTGAATTGAAATGGGGATGTGTTCACACCTAACTTCTTGTGAGAAAACTCATCCTGAACGTTGGTAAATCGTTTCCAGCGTGAGTTAATTACAGTAGGTTGAGGCACCAGATAATTCTAAACAAAAACGTGTGTGTGGAGGCAATGCAAATTTATCTTGAAACCCTCAAGTTGATCCAAAATAACTTTTAAGTGTAGACAAGCCCTTAGTAAACTAACCAGGAGGTATAGTACGGTAGGGTAACTTCCAGCGAGTTTTGCCGTGATGAGTCTACAAGCAGTAACTGAGGTTGTATTATGAAGCTTTTCAGCAGACAAAGGATACTTATACAATTTTACATGGGTAGGATTCAACACATTTTTAAATGATCCAGTGAAAAAAATGATTACAAAGCTCTAAATGTAGCAATTTAGACAGATGGATAAGTAAAAAATAGACAATTTTGTGCTATTGTAGGTTATTAAAGTATCGTAATTAAAGAACATTGTGTATGCTACCATTTTGTAGTTTGTATTAGAATGTAAATCATCCCTACTGAGACATAAATACAAAAGTCTCCAATATTCTCTTTCCAACCTCTCCTTGTCAAATAATATTTACCTTCTCCTTTGCTTTAGATCTGAATCTTCACCACTGTTCTGGGCTTTCCTATGACATAAAGATAATTAAGGAAGCTTTGAATGAAACATCTATAGGTCACTTGAAGTCTAATATTAATAGGCACTCACCTTCTACAACAAAGCCTTCAGATAGAAAATAGTTGATGCTTGTAAAGCGCTTGAAGGATCAAAGTATTCTTATACCATTTTAAAAACTACCATATGCACACGGAACACTGTCAGTTATCTGTGAGATCTGAAATTCATTTTCTAAAGAGTACTGAAGGACTTTAAAAAATTTAGAATGAATTAAGTGGAGTTTGCAAATAAACAGAAGGAAAAAACAGTCTGATCAGGTTGTGATTCTACTGAGTTTAACAGTGTTCTTTAAAAGTGGCCCGAAAAAGATTTTTCATTGATCTTGTGCCCACTTTTGCTTCTGTATGATGTATAAAGAAGGGATTAAGGGCTGATTTTTTTTCTCTCTTTGTTTTTTACATTAGAAATATGAGGAATGTCAAGTTTGGTTCTCCCTGGTTTATTTGGAGGACCTCCTAGGGGAACCAGGAATGTATATTCTGAGTTCTCGCACCTTAACTAATGAGGAGATATGGTGTTCAATCTTCAACAAGGAGGTTTCTTTTCCAAAAGTCACTGAAGTTAACCAGGACAATTGGGGCCAGATCCTCATGTGAATCAGTGAAGTTGATGGAGCTAAGCTGATCTACATCTGCTGAGGATCTAGTCTGAAGGTTATAAGCAACTGATAAAAGATCCCCTCCCAATTATTGTGATGTTCATTTTACTAGTTCTCCAGTCTTCAGAGAATCTTTCAAAGCAGACAAGTCCTGAATTTTTAAGTATTTAGACAATAACAAAAACTTTTAGGTCTTCTTTACACATTAGTATAAAGCAAAATATTGACACACTTTTTCTTTTTTTCCCCTTGAACTTTGCAGGTCATCTTTAACTATGCACAGATGGATTGCTACAGTTCCCTCTAAAGTCAATGACAAAGCTCTCGCATTGACTTCAGTGGGAGCAGGGTAGAGCTCTGCAAGTTAGCCAGTAGAGTGCATTCAGTGTAGTAAAGTCTGACTTTTTTCTACTAAGGCTAGTAAACAGCACACAAACACCACAATTATTCTGTTATAAGGCAGATGAAAAAACAAAGAGCACTAATGAAATTCAAGACTCAGCAGGATATAATTGGGTTAGCACCTGTCAGTGTTCACAAGCTCACGTATGAGATAAGACTTTGAAAAATATTTCTATAATGCTGTAGCCCAAGAGAAAATGTGTTATTGGCATGACCACCTATCATTGTAGATGCCTGTCCCAGGTATACATGCTACACATCTCGAAAAGATCTCTTATTGCATGGCACACAAGTGTTCTACTTTTCATGACATATGGTGTTATACATTGCACATCTAAATTTCCTTTTTTTAACTGACCCCAGTGAGCATTCTGATGGCTAAAATTGAACTGAATCAGAATAATGGTCTCAGGAAAATAAAATACATTCCAAGTAAGACTTACAAGCGCCAGATACCCAGCAGGTGGAAATCAACATAATTCAGTGATTTCAACAGAGCTATGCTAGTTTATACCAGCTGAGGATCTAGCCCACAGGGTCTAGTATGAGGCTATCAGGCAGATTTAATGGGTGAGATCCTCACCACTGCTCACCCATTCATGCAGAATAAAAGGGCTGCAGCAGCATAAATGGCCCTAAAAACCCCATAATCCAGCTGGGAGAGGATTCCCTCACCTGCAGGGCTGGTCTCCAAGGACTCCCTTGCAAGCCCTGATGTCAGAGGCATGCTGAGGACAGTGCTCAGGGTGTCCGGGGCAGGACTGCAGCACACAGCACTCTGGAGATTCCAGGAAGTGCTGTGGCTGACATAACTAAGATGACCCTGAGACCTATCGAAAGTATGCCGGGGATCTCCCCAGCACTTGGCGCAGCCCAGGATTGCACCTGCAAAGGGAGGTTGAATTACATTAGCCCCAGTTCTTCCTGGATTGCAAGTTCGGGGCCTTGTCTGTGACTGGCGCAGCACAGAATCTCACCCCATATTGTTTTATTGTATTTGTCTAAGCTACTCAAATGTCTGCATAATTAAAGGAACATACCAAATAGTTCACAGCTCTGTTTTTGCAGACATACTGTCCAGTGTTCTGAGAGTCACCAAAGGCCATATTGAGGAGCGTTTCCTTAATGGCTTCACCAGTTTAGCCTTTTTGTTGAAAACAATAGTGCAATACTGATATTCTTTATAAAATCACATTGTCAAACAAGCGGCCTCCCCTCTCTGCTCCACATAGCGGGCAGCAGCAACTGGGACGAGCACATAGGGGCAGATCATTCAAATGCCCAACCAGCTGGCACCAGCAACCACAGCAGGCCAAGGGGCTAACTCAAGGCCTTCTAGCCTCCCACCTCTCCCATTGGACTCAGAAGGATTTGCCTTGGTCTCAGGGGCCACACTTTCCTCCTTCCACATAGGGAGTAGTAATTCTGGAATTTTTGTTCACTCATTGATTATTGGTGCAACTTCTCTTCTCTGACACAGCTCTGGATTAAGGAGCCTTTATTGAGCCCAAAGCAAGGAGAATCACAAAAAAAGACTTCTGTTGTAAGCAGAAGCTAATATAACTCTCCACATTCCTACCTTCTTCTAACTTGTTGCCCAGATTCATTTTCACTGCCACCTGATGGGTTCCGTCGTCGAGAGTAAGGAAATTTTGGTGATTTATTGCGGTCACTGGGAGAATTATACAGTCCACTAGAGTTAAACAGCAAGAGTAAACAACTGAGCTCAAAAATATCAGAAGATTTAGATACCCCAGCCTCATTGTACAGAAATACTGCGCAGGCACATACTTAGATTTTTAAAAACAGCTGTAATGGCCATGTTAAGAAGGAGTACATTTCTCTATACTGAATGGAGTGTAGATAACAAGATTTGGTCAAGCTGAGGTTGAGGATGTTACTGTTTTTCAGAAATAAATATATTACACTGAATCTTGAAAACAAGAGACAATTACACAGAATCCTTCAGAGAGTGATAATGGGACATTACAGAGCACTGCCACTGATTCAGTAGTTCTGAGCAGCCACAAAGAAGAACAGACCCATCCATTATTTCGGGCATAGGAAGATTTTTGTAATAAAGAACTGTTGTAGCTGAGAGCTAAACTTTCAAATACACATTTTATTTATAATGCTAGTGAAAACAGGAGACTAATCCATACTATAATTTACATACGTAGGGACCTTAGCCCCCTCTCCCAATGTCCACATAACTTAAATTAACATAAAACATCCAATTAATGCAAATGGGAGTTACAAGCCATAGATGTTCTAAAGAATAGCCCTTGTTTTGAAACTAAAAAGGGTTCCAAAGACTTTGTGCACTGAAATAAAAATGTCAGCAATCGCATCTATAAATATTAAAAACAAATATTCTATGGAACCAAACAACATGAACGTCACAAGATATTTTCTTCATTGCAGTGACCCAGTCTGATGTTCTGACTGGGTCACAGCACAGCTTAATTAATTTACAATATGGTAATTCCCCACAAATACTCTTTGTATGAAAATATTTAAGGAAAAGGTCATGTATATGACAGCATATGTATACTCTGGCCACAGTGTCAGGTAGAAGGCAAAACAAGTGCTTCCAAAACCCCAGTGAGTGTATATTTCATTATAACAGAGTGGTTTATTGCTCTTACAGTAAGTAGCTCCACAATCTTTTTGGATGAGATATGTTAAACTAAGGTCCTAACTTGGTCCATTGAAGATCATTTGGTATTTTTCACAAGAAAAATGAATAGTAATACCATGTATTCTGCCCAAAATCCAGTTTGGGTGTTACATTCTGCCTTCCTAAATGCCCTCTGGGGTTTCAGTTATATTCTTCTTCTTCATTCCCTGCCATAAATGGTTGTTCTAGAGCATTACTCTGCTCAGTTAAAGAGTTGTATTCCATCCCAGAGATGACTGCATTTCAATGGTGGAAATTCTTTACTAAAGACCATGAAAACCAGCATATGCAGCCAAGTGCTTTGGGATGGAAGAAGCTATATAATTTCAAGATCATCATTTGGCTGCTAAAATATCAAACTTGCATCTTCCCAAAGGGATCATTTTAACACGAAAGCAGCAACATCACAGTTGGCTAACATTTCCTCTCTCAAAGGTCACAAAATCATTTTTAATGTCAATTTACCATGAATGTAATAATATACTAAATGTTTCAGCTAGATTAAGCATAATGCTTATTTCTTCTGCAAAAGTGTAATTTGCTACCAGGATATTACTTTTGTACTCTGATTTACCTTACTGAAAAATAAATACATGCACTTTGCACTTCTAGCAACAGAATACTTATCAATTGTTTCGTTCTTTCCCCGAAAGGGCACTGATCAGAACAAGCCATGATGGCATCCAGAATGTACAAATGGAACCCAGGAACTTATGCAGAAATGCCAGGTAACATGCTACACATACAGGACTGGCCCTGGAATACATGATATATGTTCACTCTGACCTTGCTATTCATGAATGTATTACATCAACCACTCTTGCACCATCAACCAAGCAAAATCTTTGCCATTGCATGATGTTTACCTTACCTCTGGGGGCCATTTTCCTCCCATGGTGCACTTATTTTACTTCTTTGGGTTTCAGGACTATTTTCACTTTTTGCCTTTTTAAAGCTAAGGAAAAATACATATAAAAATAAAAACCATGACAATGATAATTTAAAAACATTTTTTTTTGCCCATGACCTCATTAATGCTCATTCTAGGGACATGCAGGTCTGAGAGCTTGTCTACACTTACCGGGGGATGGATGCACGACAATTGATGCATCGGCGGCCGATTTAGCAGGTCTAGTGAAGACCCGCTAAATCGACCGCAGATCACCCTCCCGTCAACTCCTGTACTCCACCTGAACCAGAAGCGCAAGGGGAGTCGATGGGAGAATGTCTCCCGTTGACATAGCGTAGTGTAGACCCCACGGTAAGTAGATCTAAAGTATATCGACTTCAGCTACGTTATTCACGTAGCTGAAATTGTGTAACTTAGATCGATCTCCCCCCATAGTGTAGACAAAACCTGACAAAACCCACTTCTCAGGCATAAAGCCATTTGCCCTCCATCCTAAAGAATTCCTCACAGAAACATCAGCTATGGAAGTTGGAAAGAGCACCAGCGAATTAGCTCTGCAATATCATTTCTGACTAACTCTGGAAAAAAATGTTCCAAGGCAGCCAGGGATAGGACAGTGGACTCACAAGTAGTTAGTACTGAGCATGTGACTGAACTCCTACACTACATGGAGGAGAAGCCATCAGTATGTTCTAAAACAGTGGCTCTCAAACTTTCCAGACTACTGTACCCCTTTCAGAAGTCTAATTTGCCTTGCTTACCCCAAGTTTCACCTCAGTTAAAAACTACTTGCTTACAAAATCAGATATAAAAATACAAAAGTGTCACAGCACATTACTGAAAAATTGCTTATTTTCTCATTTTTACAATATAATTATAAAATAAATCAATTGGAATATAAATATTGTACTTATATTTCAGTATATAATATATAGAGCAGTATAAACAAGTCATTGTCTGTATGAAATTGCAGTTTGTACTGACTTTGCTAGTGCACTTTATGTAGCCTGTTGTAAAACTAGGCAAATATCTAGATGAGTTGATGTACCCTGTGGAAGACCTCTGTGTACCCCAGGGGTACGTGTCCTCCTGGTTGAGAACCACTGTTCTAAAACATCTGTAATATCTCTTCTTTCTTTCAGTTTCTTCTTTTTCCATTGCTGGTTTGTACATCTCTTACTCCAGCCAAGGAAAAATGGCCAAGGCTCCCTGGACAGGCTTATGAATGTCACTCCAAGAACTGGTTTCTGGTTGGAGAATGCTCTCTCTCTCTCTCCCTACATTGGCTGATCATGCCTTCCCCACAGCATACCACTGGATAATCACGCTAGCTGTCACTAAACGCCTCATAACTGGCACAGCATCATATTGCAAATATAAATGCTACAGACACTTCCAAAGTACAAACCATCAACAGAGACTTCTAGAGACGTTTAGAGGGACACAAGCCAGCATTCTTCACTGTAAGGGTAAAGTTTGTCACCTCCCTGACAGACTCAGCTTTATTAAGAAAACTTGGATACTTAATTTGTTAATCTACTTTTAACCTCAGCCTTCTGTTACTCCAGGTCATTGAGTTAATCATTTAATTCTCATATAGTGTAAAAATTGCAAAGCTACCAGCAAGGCAGCAAAAAAGACAGAAATTAAATGAGGTCACTTCAGAAGGTGAATCGTATTTTTCTTAATATTGCACCCATCTGGCTGTCAATTCAGATGTATGCAGAGAATCTATTCCCAACCCCAACTCACTTCAGTTGGTACAAATGAACCTCATAAATAGAATCTGTCCTGTATTGGGGGAACCTTTTTTTGCATAGTATTACAATTACACAATGAGGTGATAATTAGAATGATGACACAATTTTAAATGCATGTCCAACACAGCTTTAAAAAAAAAGAAAGAGGAATAATCCTGGGTGCTGAATTAACAGTATTAGAATTCTAAGCCATTTCTCATTCAGAGCAGACATACATTTTACAGCTAGAGTGCTAGAGCATGGCAGCTCTTCAGACACTGGCATTATCTTCAGGAATGCAGTTGCAAAAGGGATTGAGCTCATTCAGTACCTTTGAAAAGGTTAGCATTGGAATTTCATGAGAGATTACTGTCTTTTTCCTGGTTTATCTTGAATTTATATCATTTATGCACAGGTGACCAGCTATCTATTTCAGCAGTGAATGAGATGCTAAGCTATGAAGACTCAGCTCAGAGGAGTTGATAAAAGATGCCTTGTAAGCATTCTTAGGGTGTACTACTAGAATGAAGTGGGATGGAGTACCAAACTGTAAATGCCTCACAGAGGAAGTATGCTGTCTGGTCCCCATGTTTGGTAGAGGTGGAAAATATTTCTCAAATGCTGATACAGATACAAAGAAAAATCAATTTTGTTATTTAACTCTCATGCTAGAGAAACTTCTCTCTTAATATCTTCTCTAAAAGTGGAACAAGTCTCTATACAGACAAGTGCCTACAATACACAAGATATGCAGTCTGCCAGGAATAGCAGATATACTCTGAAGTTGTTTTAACCAGTTCTTTTAATTTAAAATGATTAACACTGTTTAAAAACATACATATTTCAATTTTGTCATGTTCAGGTGTTCAGGTTCAGGTTTTCTTTCCCATCTGTTAACTGGAGAAGTATATTTCAGTTTTGAAAATGAAAGAGAATGGACCATTATATTCAATGGAGTGTTGCTGATTTACACCAGCTCATGATCTGGCCCAAAAGATTCTTAAACTTTGGTCAATATTATGCCTGACCTTACCTGTGTCTGCAGCACAGTAGAGTGGGTGGTGGTTGCAAGGACTGACAGCAGTGCCAGATTTCCCAAAGTGGGCAGCTTGAGTGGGATGGGGCCATGCCCGCCTTTTCCCTGCCTCACACCGGAAAGAAGAATTGCCCTGAACAGAGGTGGACAGACAGACATGCTGCGCCCTTTCAAAGGATTTCTCAGACTCCATTCTTCCTCTGAATTCTTGGATGCATTGATCCTGCCAGGCAGTGTCCTTCATGCCATAATATGGTGGGGGTTTTGTTTAAATCAAGACTGGCTGTCTTTCTAAACAATACACTCTAGTGCAGCCAGAAGATAAGGCATTGATACAAGAATTACTGGGTGAAATTCTATGGCATGTGTTAGGCAGAAGGTCCTTCCTGGCCTTAAAAATGTACTAATATTTAATATACTTCTTTTTCTATCCAACATTTTATGGGAGCTCTTCATCAGTAAGCGAAGATTAAACCTTTTTTGGTCTCACTACACTTACCTTTTTACTGGGGAAGGTGCAATAATTTTAGTGGTTCCTTCTTTTTCCCCATTTTCCATATTTGATGTAACCTGATTTATGCTTTTGGATCCTGGGGAAAAAAACAAAACCCCCAACCAATTTTTAGTGGCTCTCCTACATATTTTGGCTACTTTGCAGAACTTTACACAATTCTATTGAATGTACTGCAGTATTGTGAAATACAAACACATACAATCGCTATCTTATTGGTTCCCAGACTGTGGTCCATGAAGCATGTGCTAGCAGTCCCAGGGGAGAAACTGGTCAAAAGATACTAGCTCCTTTATCTTGTTTCCAGCTGCACTGCATTAAAAGAAGGCTAAAAATATATTAAATACTTTCTTAATATTACCTTTCCACATAAGCAATTGCTGCAGTTCCCATAGGGATATTGTGCAGCTGCAAACAGGAGATGGTTTGCCCAACTATGAATAGGAGGGGAGGTGTCTGGGAGACTATATCTTTATTAAGATGTAGTCCATACTACAAAAGAAATGGTAATCCATGATGTAATAACTGTGTGAAAAAAAGCCACTGAAATAATAATACAGCACAATGGATGGATCTTTTTAAAGGAAAATCTCTCAAATTGATAACTTAACATTGTTTGATGCTTGGATAATTTACCTGTATAACATTCATTATTTCTATAGAACTTTGCTAATTTACACTTCTGACCGGAGAACAGCTATAAATTAATGAACTTGTGAATTGACAAGTAAATGGACAAACACAACAAACAATCAAAATAATGCTCATGAAACTTTGTCTTTTGTTCATTTATTTTGTCAGTTGTAGTTTAGTTTTAGTGGAGTGTGGATTAGCTAGATTTTTACCGTATCAGTTATTTATTGGTGCTGACAATGCACTCAACATGTAAACTGACACAATCCCCGCCCCCAGGAATTTAGGGCCCAATGTTGATCTGTGGGAGAGTAAGCCATTTAGGGGACTGGGCACTCTGAGTTGCACTCACAGAGTTTGTTTGCTATTTTTCTGTTTGAGGAAGCACAGGCTGTTGGTCCCAAACCCGACCCCCCAATCCCCAATCTTGTGGATCACAGGCAGGGGCAGCTCCAGGCACCAGCGCAGCAAGCGCGTGCCTGGGGCGGGAAGCCACGGGGGGTGGCCTGCCGGTCGCTGTGAGGGCGGCAGGCAGGCGGCTTTCGGCGGCATGCCTGCAGGAGGTCCACCGGTCCCGCGGCTTCGGCGGCAATTCGGCAGTGGGGACGCCGATGGCGTGGTACCGGCGGAACTCCCACAGGCATGCCGCCGAATCTGCATGACTGCCGTGCTTGGGGTGGCAAAAAACATAGAGACGCCCCTGATCACAGAGACATGGGGATCAGCCAGAGACGTGGGGCATATGTATAGAGGACACTTGGCAACAGTTTATTCCCAATAATCTTCCAGGTGCCCTCCCTATTTTGGTTCCATCCACCCCAAATCTGTAGGGTTGGAATCTTCTGTGGAATCTATGTAGAAGCTTCCACAGAAGCGGAGGAAAATGCAGCACTCCCTCCTTCCATGCCCCCACTTCCAGGAGCCAAGGAAACAGGTTCATGCATTTATGTTTTGAGAAGCACAGAGACCTTAAACTCAGATTTATTCGCACATAACACACTAGGCAAAGACAGTTAAGCTCAAAGTAGTATAAAAATGTTACACTGTATATAAATTTCCACATTTCAAAATCATTAAAGGAAAAACTATTTAACCTAGTACATCCCACAGGTTTGTTACCACCATCAAGATTTGTTTGTTTTGGTCACACTGCCTTTTTGGCTTCCACACTGTGCAATATATATTCACGGTTCTGATGCCTTGTTTCTTCTGTGGAACTACCAAGGAAAAAATTATTTTGAATTTGAATAAATATCTAACAGAGTGAAGTATACGGGTGCCAGTAAAATTATTCCAAGACTTTTTAAAAAATTGATAGCATTTAGATATTGTAATATTACAATGCAAGTTATTTGCAACTAGTTAAGAAATTCCTGGACCTCTGGTACACCCTGTAAGATTCATCTTTTTTACCTGAGCCATGGTATTAGCATTGTACTAAAAATAATCTGGGTGAGACTTCTGTCTCTGTCCTCTGTACACAGGCTTTATAAAATAACATTCCCTTCAACTCACACTCTCTCTTTCCATCTCAATGACAGTTTTAGTCACCTCCTACAAAGCTTATCTTCAAAACTGTTCTCAACTCCTGAGACGGAGTATCCAAACCACTTTGTAAATCAGTTCCGGGTAGGGCTCTTGTATTGTACATCGAAGATAATGCAAGATTTCAATTTAAAATTCTTCATACTGCTATAGATTGATTGACATCTATAAAACTACTCATAAGGAAACACTAGGTTTTGTGCTTGGAAGGAACAGCTTTTATAATGTCATGGTATGAAATAATAGCTTTTTTCGGGGTTATAATAACTAGAAGTAATGTTTAAAATTTAGTGAGGGCTCATTTGTGCCTTGTAAGCACACCCCACATTAAGGGTCAATGCAGAGAAAAGCCACCACAGAGGTAGCAGTGAAAGGAATTCTGCCTCCCAGAGCTCCTGGATGTGGAAAGGCTAAGCATCCAACCCTTTCTGGGCTGCAGTTTACTATTTTCCATGTGACTTTGCTGCCTGGTGAATACGGGAGATGGAGCCAAGGCCCTTTCTCCTCCCCCGGTCCTCTGTCTCCCCCAGGGAAGTAAGGAGAGAGCAGTCCTTGCATTTCTCTGAGGGCAAAGACTGTGATTCTGCCTGCCCTTTACTCTGGTCACACAAGCATAAGGATTAGGCAGACTCATGCCCTAAATAGTGAAATATGGAACAGGTACAATTTACGTTTGAAGCCATTTGTAAACACAAAATTTAAGACAGTATTTAGGGATTTTAAGTATGCTCCATTTTATAATCAATTAAAGAGAGAACCGAGACTATAATCTACCTGAAGCAGTGCACATTCATCCATACAGCTGAGTTTCTATTTTCTGGTACAGGTTAATAGCTATGATGCTACAACACCACTTGGATTGTGAAAGAATGGGGGAAGAGAATGGGAGAATAAAGGAGTTAGAAAAACCAAAGACTCTTCCTGACTGAGTCTGAATACGAAAACCACAGAAAAAAAACAAACCCAACCCTTATTAAAAGAATAAAGAATACTGCAAACATTCCCTCTTTGGAAGGTGCAGCAAGAGATCAAAATGTTTAAGGTGAAAATAAAAAAGGTGACACATAATAAGAATGGTGAAAGGCAATTTCCCCTCTTTTTGTCAGCATATGAGGAGGGAGCAGGTTGAGGCAGTAAGTTATAGGGAGTTAGTGGTATTTGGCTTGATTAGTTTTGTGGGTAGATGTTATTGGCCTGCCCATGCCACTAGAAGTATGTGAGATAAAAAGGTCACCATTCAAAGCTAGCACACTGTAGTTAATGCTTTTTCTGAGTCCAGGGAAATAACTGCAGTAGCTCAGATACTACTGTGTGGTAAATAGAGATTATTTACCTGTAACTGGAAGTTCTTCAAGATGTGTGGTCCCTATCAATATTCCATGTGTGGGCATGCATATGTACCATGCACCTGAGACTGGAAAATCTTGCAAGTAGTGTCTGTGTTAGTCTAGGCCTCCATCCTGGATCTCCTTGTGCTTAGCACCTAGGGTGAAGGGGAGGGGAGGAGGAACGACTACCTCTCCAATTCTTTTTCTACCATTAATCAGTCATGACTTGAAACAGAGGGGAAGGAGGAAGGGTAGTGGAAAACAGATAGGGACAGAACTTCCAGTTAAAGGAAAGTAACCTCCATTTCTTCTTCGAGTGCTGGTCCTTATGTGTATTTCACACCTGAGTGTCTGGCAAGCAGTACTCATATGGGGGGGCGGGGTGTGAGGATGCAGGTTGTATAGATGTCTGTAAAACTGCAATTCCAAAGGCTGCATCAACAGAAGGGGCTTGGATCAAAGCATAATGCATCTTAAAAGCGTGCATGGAACTCCAGGTTGCCCCCTTACATATGTCCAACGTAGGCATGTCTCGAAGAAATGCTACTCAGGTTGCCTGTGCTGTAGTGAAATGGGCCCTCGTCCTGTCCAGGGGAGTGAAATGCGTCAACTGATAGTAAAGGAGGCTACAGCCAGAAATCCACTTATAGAGTCTCTGAGCAGATATTGTTGGTCTCCGTGCTCACTCCACTATAGCAACAAATAGTCTAGGTGATTTTGTAAATGGTTTCGTTCTTTGCAGTTAGAATGCCAATGCTCGTCTGACATTGGGAGAGTGAAGTCTCCTCTTCTTCCTAGAGGTATGAGGTTTTGGGAAGAACACCATTAAGTGAATCAATTTGTTTATGTGGGAATTTGCAAATTATCTTTGGGATGAATTTCAGGTGGAGACAAAGGATACGTTCTCTTTATGAAATGTAGCCTATAGAGTTTAGCCATGACGGCCTCCAGCTCACCCACCCTCCTGACCGACCTAATGTCAACTAGGAAGGTGACCTTCATAGACAGGTGTGACATAAAGCACATGGCCAACGGTTCAAAAGGTGGCCCAGTAAGTGTTGAAAGTAGGAGATTGAGGTCCCACTGTGGTGCTGGCTTCACTACTTCCTAGTCAGACCCTTCAGAAATCTAGTTGTTACTGAGTGAGTAAAAATAAAATAGTCACCTACTGGAGGACGGAATGGACTGATTGCGCTAGATGAACCCGCAATAAGCTAATAGACAGACCCAATGTCTTGAGAGTGAGGAGATAGTCTAAAACAGCAGGAATACCTGCAACCCCTGATGATAACTGGTCCTGGTGCACCCAAGTAGAGAAATGGCTCCACCTGGCTAGATAACATTTTCTGGTAGAATCTTTCCTGCTGTAATTAAAAATAGATTGAACAGCCTCCAAACAGGAATGCTCTAGGTCTGATGCCCATCCAAATACCAAGCCGTGAGGTGAAGAGAGTCTGGGCTGGGATGTCTAATCCTGCCATTCTCCTGAGTTAGCAGGTCTGCGAAGGACTGAATGCTGATGGGTTGACAGATTGACATTTGTAGGAGGACTGCAAATTTGAACTGTCTGGGC